CTCCAAATGTAGCACTTCCAAATCGCCCACATTAACGTATGAGACCACAAGATCATGATGAACTGTGTCGAGAGGTAGAAGACCTTCTGGCTAAAGGGTACATGCGTGAAAGCCTTAGCTCATGTGTTGTGCCTGCTCTTTTAATTCCAAAGATGGATGGTTCTTTGCGTATGTGCGTAGACAGTCATGTCACTAACAAGATCACAATAAGGTATCTCTTTTCTATTCCTCGGCTTGATGATCTCTTGGATCAAATTGAGACTGCATCAATTTTCACCAAGCTTGACTTGAAAAGTGGATATCATCAGATCCGAATCCGCACGGGAGATGAATGGAAAACAGCGTTTAATCCAACAAAATATTCGCCATTAGTTCTTGGCCAACGCCAAAGACAATCACTGATGTGAGAAGCTTTCACGGGTTAGCATCGTCCTATCGGCGTTTTGTGGCTCACTTTAGTAGTATCCTGGCACCAATTAAAGACTGTCTCAAGCGTGCTCAGTTCGTGTGGTTTGACGATGCTGCAAAAGATTCTGATACCATTAAGAGTAAGTTAACATCAGCTCCGGTACTCTCTCTTCCAGACTTTGCGCAGTCTTTTGAATTGCACTCTGATGCATCTAAAAGTGGGACTGGTTCAGTTCTTAGCCAACATGGTAAACCAGTTTTTTTCTTTAGTGAGAAGATTGCAGGTTCGAGAGGCCGATATAGCACCTATGATATCGAGCTATATGCGGTGGTTCAAGCCATTAAACATTGGCGTCATTATCTCTTTCACCAGGAATTTGTTCTTTTTACTGATCATGATGCCTTGAAACACATGGGTTCTCAAGATAAAGTTTCTGCAAGACATGCTTCTTGGTTTTCATATTTACAGCAGTTTACATTTGTGATCAAGTACAAGGATGGTACGTTGAATAGAGTCGCTGGCGCTCTTAGACGTCACTATGCTCTCTTGACTATTCTACATGTTTCAGTCCCTGGTTTTGCGGTTCTACCAGAGTTGTATCCAACAGATACGTTCTTTGGAAAGCTATGGCTCGAGGCACAATCGGGTTTGAGTCCTGATTACTTTGTGTATGGTGGTTTTCTGTATCTTGGAAGCAAGCTGTACATTCTTGAATGTAGTTTACGCCTGCAAGTGATCAAGGAACTTCATGTACAGGGACATGTGGGGCGTGATCGCACATTACAGTTGGTCACAACATCATATTTTTGGCCATCTCTTTGCAGAGATGTAGAACGCTTTGTCCTGCGGTGTGGAATCTGTCTAGCAGCTAAAGGGCACTCATCAAACGCGGGTTTATACTTCCCTTTACCCATTCCCACGCAACCGTGGACCAACATCAGCATGGACTTCATCCTTGGAATTCCGCGTACGCAACAAGGAGCTGATTCGATCTTGGTCATTGTTGATCGTTTCTCTAAGATGGTGCACTTTGTGCCTTGTAAAAAGGCTACTGATGCCTTACAAGTTGCAACCTCGTTCTTTCGAGAGATCTGAAAACTTCATGGCTTACCACTTTCTATTGTCTTTGATCGTGATAGTCGTTTTCTTGGTCATTTTTGGTGCTCTTTATGGCGTTTACTTCGCACCAATCTTGACATGTGTTCTGCATATCATCCTCAAACTGATGGTCAAACGGAGGTAACAAATCATGCTCTTGGTGATTTTTTGCGTTGTTTGGTTGGCAATAACATCAAGTCGTGGGACACTGTTTTGTGTCAAGCTGAATTTTCTCACAATCATGCAATGAACCGAAGCACTAGATTCAGTCCCTTTCGTATTGTCTATGGTCTTGTCCCGTGTAGCTCTTTGGACTTGGGAATCGCTCCAGACTGCACTCGTTTACATGAAAGAGCTTGTGACATGGTTAATGATTTTATTGAGTTACATAAGCAGGTTCACGATAACGTGGAAGCTGCAACATCAAAGTATAAAGCAAAGGTTGCTCATCGTCGTGAGATACAATACAATGTAGGGGACAAAGTTTGGGCTGTCCTTACAAAGGATTGCTTTCCTCCTGGTAGTTACAACAAGCTCAAGCCTCGCAAGATGGTCCTCTTGATGTCATTGGGAAGATAAACAACAATGCATATCACATTCGCCTACCTCCACATATGAAGACTGCAGACGTGTTTAACGTAAAGCATTTGGTTCCATTTGAAGACAAGAACATTGATCAAAATTCAAGGTCGAATTTTCTCTTACCAGAGGGGACCTGATGTAGCGTATATCTATACTTTTATTTGATATCATGGGCTTAGTCCGGTTTGGGCTTTAGTCGGTTATTTTTTTACGTATGGAAGAGATTAGGATTAGGGTTTTGGTGTTATGTCTATTCCTTTATAAGGTTTTAGTTATCATTATTGTATCGTTGGTTTTTGAAGTTATAATAAAGCAGAGAATTTTCTTTCGCAACTCTCGTTAATTGTTTATTTATTTGAAAGCCGGTTTTGAGTTTTAGCTTACAAGTTTTACGAACTCTGTTTGAATTCATATTTGTGTCATTCAGCTACTAGCCGCTGCATCATTTATTCACTGATAATTTTAAGAGTTAACATGAAATTGATACATAGATAAAAGACTTAACAAATAATATTATAGAGACTAGGGGCTAGCTCCACGCAAGCATGGGGATGTTGGCACAATTTTATTATCTTGTAGTTTCAAAGTAATAGTTTGGAGGTTGATTTTGATTTTTTGAAATATTGTAATAGAATATTTTTTGAAATGTTGTAGTGTTATGTAATATAGAATAACAGTTCCATGTATTGTTGATGGAGGAGAAAGACTACAACGTATTTGTTGAAGTTGAAATGCACCCCAAAGAGAGAAGGGTAGTGCTACACATATGTAAATTATATGGCTACGTATCTTCTTTTATCTTTGTAAAAACGCAGTTGTGCAATTTGGTATCCAAGAGAACAAAATTTACGTCAATCCTGACCTGTAAATAGTAAATAATTGAAAATTGTATTCTCGTGGGTAGTTCGAAAGCCATAGGTGACTTAAAAACAAAAAACCCATAAAAATTGAAAACTTGCAAAGTTCAAATAACCAAATAATAATGATAATAATAGAAGGAATTATAAATTGGTCAAAGATGGATGGGGTTGACAGTAGATAGAATTTACTGTCTCACTCACGGGTGCGCTTGGGTATACCTTCCTTTTCTCCAGCTGTAGCTTTGTTTGAGGTAGTACCAGAACTAGCGATATGATTAGGTTTTTATGCTTGTCTTTAACTACAGCATCTTTGTATATGTAAAGTAGTTATTCCTGAGAATATTAGGAATATCATGCAGACCATGTCACTCTAGGTTGTCTAAGGATAAAGATTATGTGATATGTTCATATCATATATATGAATACTGGAGGACATGATTGTGTAGAACTGTTCTCAACAATCCTTCTGAAACTGAAATGCTGGCTATTTGTGGAACAGTTTGCCTTGATTTCATACCTGTAACAGTTTTACAAACTCTGATGGTTCATTAGCAAGCCGCATTCCACGTCCACCACCACCAGTTGTTGCCTATAAACCAGAAAGACACCAGTTGTGAGATTTAATATTCAGTAAACCATTCTAAAAAGTACAGAGATAGCTATCAAAAAGAAAAACTTCAGATGCTACTTAATAAAGCAAATCCTAAGTGAAAAATTAAAATAGTGTTAAAACACCATAATTTCTTCTTTGAGTTACTATAGAAACGAATTAATTTACCTTGATCATTACAGGGTTCCCAATCTCATCGGATAGTCTGACTCTTTATGTTCTCTGTAATAACAATAAATTTAATGCATATAAGTTCCAAGGACACTCTGATAGGGAAAAGGGCATATTCCTAGCCAAATAATTTCAATCGTGCCAAATACATCCTCAACAAATTGTCAGTGCCAAATACGACCTGAACTACGTTATAATTCAAAAAAACTACCTGAATTTTTTATAATGTAGTTCATGTCGTATTTGGCACTGACAATTTGTTGGGGTTGTATTTGGCACGATTGAAATTATTTGGCTAGGAATATGCCCTTTTCCCTATCAGAGTGTCCTTGGAACTTATATGCATTAAATTTATTGTTATTACAGAGAACATAAAGAGTCAGACTATCCGATGAGATTGGGAACCCTGTAATGATCAAGGTAAATTAATTCGTTTCTATAGTAACTCAAAGAAGAAATTCAGGTGTTTTAACACTATTTTAATTTTTCACTTAGGATTTGCTTTATTAAGTAGCATCTGAAGTTTTTCTTTTTAAATTCAAGAAGTTTTTTGAATTATAATGTAGTTCATGTCGTATTTGGCACTGACAATTTGTTGGGGTTGTATTTGGCACGATTGAAATCTTTTGGGTAGGAATAGACCCTTTTCCCCACTCTGATATGACTCATTTCAAAATGTAGATCCGATGGTCCAGCATAATACCTGCAACAGTCCATCACTCCCTGGTACAGTTGGGACACCTGCATTTTTCATCGTCTCCCTAGCAGTTGATTTGTCACCCATGACATGGATGCTTTCAGGCTCCACATTCAGATTATCCATTTATAGTACATTCTTTTCATATATTATTCTGCAAATGTTTTTCTTAAACAAACATACATTTGGAGCAATAAAATTAATCTTATGCTCTCTGCACATCTCAACAAAAGAGCGTTCTCTGAAAGGAAAACATATCTAGGATGAAGCATTGTACATCCTCGGCTAATTGCAGCTAACAGAACATNCACATTCAGATTATCCATTTATAGTACATTCTTTTCATATATTATTCTGCAAATGTTTTTCTTAAACAAACATACATTTGGAGCAATAAAATTAATCTTATGCTCTCTGCACATCTCAACAAAAGAGCGTTCTCTGAAAGGAAAACATATCTAGGATGAAGCATTGTACATCCTCGGCTAATTGCAGCTAACAGAACATTCAGTATTAACAAATACCTGCAGACAATTCAGAATTTATAAAAACTAATGTTTCTCTCCCCAATCATCAAGCATCTGGACCAACATGTTGACAGAAAGACTTACGACTGGTTGCTTGGACCTTCACCAATACAAACAGATTCAACAAATAGTGGAGTAGACAGAAACACAAGGAATTCCCATTACATGAGCAGTTTAGATAACACAGACATCGATTTCACCTCTATTAGCCACAAGAATCTTATCCCCACTGCTGCAAGTATCACCAAGCGCACCACCACCACTCCTCCTTCTGACGTTTCGGCTAATCTTCAAAGTCGGTATCTTTTGGCTCGGGAAGGTAATGGTTTTCCCCATCATGACATTACAGTGTGAACTCCTAGATGGAACTATTTATGAAAAAACCAAGGAAACCCACAATAAGAAACAAATATTTCTAACTACCTCTATGATCATTTGTTTCTTGTTCCCTTTCTCTCTCAAATGCCACACATATGGGATGTCACAATAATCTAACTTCTGTATCACCTGCTTCTTCCCAAGCAATTTTCGCCAATCATTCCAAAAATTCTCCCTATATAATGATTTACTGTAATATTCTTGTCTACTTCATCACTGCAAACATTGTTGCAACCTACATTACATACCATCGACATATAATCAGCATGGAAGATAATACCCTATTGGAATAACATAAGAAAAGAATATTGGATATTAAGATGAACCAAGGAGACGGGACAAAACCTCTAGAAATCCAAATCCACGGGTTAGATACATTACAAATACAAAGCACAACACTTTAGTCATCAGTAAGATGAATTACCTAATGATTATAGAGATAAGGGCAGCAACGAACTTCAACGTGGCGTGAATGCTTTCCATGACCCTTAAAGGCGTCATCTTCGTTGTCTGCGAGCTCATCCATTAGACCGCTCGTTCTCTCTCTTCCCCTTCATCTCTCTCTCTCTTCCTCATCAACACCACCATTCTTAACTTCTTATCTCTCACTTTTCATCCTTACACTACAAGAAAACACCGTGCATCTGACGGCTATTCCGACGGAAAATGTATTCCTCGGAAAATTCCGAGGACATTCCGAGGAAATTCCGAGGAAACCCAAATTTAAGGTTTCCTTGGAAGTTCCTCGGAATATACCGATGGAATTCCGAGGAAAACCGTTTCCTCGGAAAAAACCGACGAAATTCCGAGGACATTCCGGGGAAATTCTGAGGAAACCAAAATTTTGGATTTCGTCGGAATTTCCACGGAATATCCTGACGAAATTCCGAGGAAAGCTTTTTCCTCGGAAATAACCGACGAAAATCCGAGGATTTATTATAGCCGTTAGGGGGATTTTAAAAATTCCGAGGAAATTTCGAGGAACTAGCCGTTTCCGTCGGAATTTCCTCAGAATTGTCGGCACATTTCATCTATAAATACAAGCACCCTCATCCTCTTCATTCACTCCATATCTTCATCCTCTCACATACTATTTTACACACGGATTTGATTGAAAAAAACATGTCTTCTTCTAATTATTATCGTTCTTGGATCGATCGACCTCATTTGGATCCTAACACGAGATTGCTTACGGAAGAGTACCAAAGAGGTTTAGGCGAATTCATGGCGTTAGTTCAACGACAACCGGAAGCAAAAACGGGTATGTTAAGATGTCCTTGCTCTACTTGTAAAAATAAAAAGGTTTGTTGGGGTCAAAATCGGTACGACGGAATCAATAGCCAAAATTCCCCGCAAACGCGTAAACGCAGCAGTTTTATGAATCTCGAGAGATTGTTTTATAAGAACTCGAAGATCGTTTTATAAGACTCGAGTGATCGTTTTATAAAACTCGAGAGATCGTTTTATAAAACTCGAGAGATCGTTTTATAAAACTCGAGAG